CAATCTGTATCGGTTTGGGTGTTTTGTTGAGTTGGATGGGGAGAAAAAGTTCTCGCTTTTTCATTGACTGAAACGGGCTGTGGCATTGTCTGTTTGTCTAGGCTCGGCTACTACTCCATGGGCTTCTTCTATTGGCTTCTGGAGTACCTCCGGGATATTGGCATGAGCGAAGCCGCGGGCCCCGCACCTCGGAGTGAGAGATGATCAGTCAAAAGGTGATAGGCTGAGAGAGTGGCGGCTTGGCCTCTTTTGAGGATTGCCTTGTTGCTTGGGCCTTGAAGGAAACCAAGGGAAATCAAGGGAAAAACCAACATGTTTGGGCGGTTGGTGCCTTTCTTGAGGATGCAATTTGTGCTTAGGTTGAAAGGGAAGCCAAAGGTAGCACCACCATTTTTGGGGTGTCCTGCACGGTGTCCTCCAAAAAAGGAAGAACCCAAATGACCGAAGGGTGTGCATGCAGGCCATGCTGGCAGCTCCCTTGGGTAAGATGACTGGAGTCATGCTGCTTGTCACGGGGGGCCCTGGCATATGCCTCATCGACCGCCCCCCGGCATCCAAAGTTGGGACATGTGGCGCATGCCCAGCATGTGTGTCCTTTTTGATTGTTTGGTCGAAAAATAGATGGCGATTCCTGGTTTACCTGGTGGTTTAATCATCTACCAGGGACAACCATCTATTTCGCGGAAAAGGACGCCTATGATGCCCGGCGCGTCTGCGAGCTTCACATTGCGCCAAGGTTTTCCACGGGTGCCGCTTCTTCAGGTGGGATTTTTTGGCGCGGCCTGCTGCGTGGGCGGCCTGACGCTTTGCACTAAGCCCCTTCTGGCCACCCGGCGAAGCTCGGGCTTGCGGCTCCTTTAGCGTGTCTTCCAGAAAAAAGGCAAGCTTGGGAAATGCTGAGGCTGTTGCGGCGGTTTATATCTCCAACATCTTCGAGGAAATTGTGTGGTGCACTGCCAGCGTCTATGTCGCAGAAGTCTTTCCGACTACTATTAGGGGCACTGCCCAAGGCGCGGATCGTGAGCAGAGTTTAGTTTACGCTAGTAAAGGCGCAAAAGGAGAGTGGACATAAGGCCCCGGCATATTACTGCACGCGTGGGGGCACGTAGAGCTTTGCGTGTAGGCGCCGCGTAGGCTCAACTTGACAGTGTGCCAGTAGGCGCGCACGTATGACTTTTAGTGCGAACCACACACCGCGAAGGCGTTTTGATATACACCTCGCACAGGCCGTCCCGCATGGTATTTGCATCTGGCGTAGGGGCCGGCGTGTTACAGTACCTTCCCACAAAGGACCTTGCCCAGCTGGGGGGCAAACCAGAGTGGCAATGAATGCATTTCCCTGGCACCCCTTGTATGAGTTCGCTCGCCGAATGTTGTTTTTTGAGAGGGGTTGTTTTTCCTTCAAAGGAATGATGTGCTTGAGCTTGCGTTTCATGCAGCGCCTTAGTTCCACCAAGCCAGCCTTGTCGCGCTGCGAGGGCATAGGATCCGGACTGCAGCTGTACTCGGAAGGTAGGTTTGCAAACTCATTCTCGAGCTGCGCAGTTTTATCTCCCGTCCAGTGGTAAGTGCAGCGTCAGCAATTCTTGCCAGGGCTCATTTTCTTCATGTGCTCTCTGGGCTGCATTTCGAGCTCCGTGTTCACCGGCAAGCTCCTAGTGCCCCGGGCAAGCAGCCAGCTTTTCGTGAGTTGCCTGAGTGATTCTTGCCTTGCTACAAATAGCCTCCTAATGCTATTCACTTGTGTTTGGAAAGTTTGCGTCAAGCGGAACTTTGCAGCTGTGAACTCGTTTGGGCACAGCCATCTGACAGCTTACAGCAGGCAAAGTGCAACATGGAAAGATCACAACAGGTCCTGAATCCAAAGCTCCCCATGCTCGGGATGATGGTGGTTTCGAGCCTTGCCTTTGTGATCAAGCTGAATGGGCTTGACAGCTTTGAGTCTCATTGCTGCAGTGTTCCTGCGCGCTTGGAGCGGCCCTGAGGATACTGGGAGGTCTTCTGGGTTGTTTCTGCAGGGAGGAGCGTGGCAAAGAGCCGCTTTGCGACTGGGCCTGAAGGGTTGGCTTGAGCTGTGCATTTAGTTGCACTTTGCGGCGAGTTTGTGCTCGCAGCCGATATGCTTGTGACGAGGGCTGCGGACAGAACAGCCATTTGTTGAACATGTTTGCGCACCACAGCGCCCAGCCTTGAGGCGATTGCACTCCAAAACACCCCAAGCAAGTGAAGTACGGGACGATGGATACAGAAGGACACACAGGCATAGGATTAGCAATGTTTGTATTTCTTTGGTGGTTTGTGCTTGTGATTTTTTGGAGTTGGTGTGTGTGTGTGTGTGTGTGTTTGGTATCTTGCTTGTTTGTTGCTTGCGTGTTTGCTTGCTTGTTTGTTGGCTTGTTTGCGTGGCTGCTTGTTGACTTGGTTGTGTGCTTGCTTGGTCATTGGTTTGTGTATGTAAACGTGTTTTGTTGTTCAAACAAAACATGTTTCTTTATGTATGTCTTGAGTTCTTTGTTTCTTTCTTTATGTATGTCGTTACTTACTTTGTTGTGTATGTTTTCATTCATGGCTTTCATTCCTTGCTTCCTTCCTTCCTTCCTTCCTTCTTTCTTTCTTTCCTTCCTTCCTTTCTTCCTCTTCCTTCCTTCCTTCCTTCCTTCCTTCCTTCCTTCCTTCCTTCCTTCCTTCCTTCCTTCCTTCTTGTTTGTTTTTGTTGCTTTGTGCATTTAGTTCTCTATCTATTTGTTTCTTTCTCAATTACTCAATTTCTTTTCCATTTTTTCAATTCCTTTCTTTCTTTCTTTCTTTGCTTATTTTGTTTGTTCTTTATTTCTTCATTTATTTTGTTTATCTTTCTCTCTCTTTCTCTCTCTTTCTCTCTCTTTCTCTCTCTTTCTCTCTCTTTCTCTCTCTCTCTCTCTCTCTCTTTCTTTCTTTCTTTCTTTATTTGTTTCTTTTTTTCTTTTTCTTTTTCTTGCTTGCCTGCTTGCTTGCTTGCCTGCCTGCCTGCCTGCCTGCTTGCTTGCTTGCTTGTTTTCTTGTGTGCGCACTCGTCCGTATGTGTCATGTTGCGCCCGCCGTGTGTGTGTGTGTGTGGGTCGCACTGTGTGTGTGTGTGTCTTTGTCTGTGTCTGTGTGTCTGTGTGTCTTTGTGTCTGTGTGTGTTTTGCGGTTGCATTATGTAGCGTTGTTGGTTTGTTTGTTTGATTGTTTGTTCCTGCTTGCCTACCTTCCTTCCTCCTTGCCCACCTGCCTGCCTGCCTGTTTGTCTGTCTGCCTGCCTGTCTGTCTCTCTGATTTTCTCTGCCGCGGCTGCCTGGCTGGCGGTGTGTCTGTCTGTTTGCCTGCCTGCCTGTTTGTGCCTGCCTGTTTGTCTGTCTCTTTCTCTCTGATGATTCGCTTTGTCTCTTTGCCCGCCTGCTTGCTTGCCTGCTTGCCTGCGTGTCTGTCTGTCTGTCTGTCCTGTCTACCTATCCGTCGGTCGGTCAGTCAGTGGCTTGGTTGGTTGGTCGGGCGGTCGGGCGGTCGGTCGGTTGGTTTGCGTGTTTGTGTGTGTGTGTGGGTGGGGTTTGTCTGCTATTGTTTCTTCTCATTTTTCCGTTTTTCTTGTTATTCATTGCTTTATTTTGTTTGCTCTTGTTTTCGTTCTGTCTTTCTTTATCTATTTCGTTATTTATTTCTTTGTTTATTTTGTTGTTTCGTTGTTTATTTGTGATTTGTTTGTTTCATTATGTGTGTCGTTGTTTTGTTTAGTTTGTATGGTTGTATGTTTTTGTGTTTCTGTGTTTGTGTGTTGGTGTGGTTGTCTGTCTGTCAGTTTGCGTGTCTCTTCTGTCTGCCTGTCCGTCTGTCTGTTTTGTTTGTTGTGTTGTGTTGTGTTGTGTTGTGTTGTGTTGTGTTGTGTTGTGTTGTGTTGTGTTGTGTTGTTTGTTTGTTTGTTTGTTTTTGTTTGTTTGTTTGTTTGTTTTTGTTTGTTTGTGTGTTTGTTTGTTTGTTCGTTCGTTTGTGTGTTTTTTTGTTTGTTTGTTTGTTTGTTTGTTTGTTTGTTTGTTTGTTTGTTTGTTTGTTTGTTTGTGTGTCTGTCATGATGTCCTGCTTTCCTTATATCATCATGTCCTGGTTTTATGTTTGCCATGTTTCCTTAGGTCCTTCTTTATTTAGTCCAGTCCTTTTTATTAGTTATTGTGCTTTGTTCATCTTATTTCTTTCTTTCTTTCCTTATTTGCTTACTTATTGGCGTCTTTCTCTTGGTTTATTTATTTCTTCCCTTCGTTGGTTCTTGTTTATTTATTTTTGATTGTTTCTTTCATTTGTTCCATTTCTTTAAAAACGTTTCTTTCTTGCTTTCCTTGTTTCATTATTGCCTCATTTGTCTTTCTTTGTGTATTCTGAGATTTGCTTATTTATTTATTTGCTTATATTTATTTGTTTGTGTCTTTCCAGTGTTGTTTAGTTTTTATTTACCATTTGTGTTTTTAGTTGCTTCTTTGTTTCTTTGTTTCTTGCTTGCTTTGCTTGCTTTGTTTGCTCTGCTTTGCTTGCTTGCCTGCTTGCTTGCTCGCTTGTTTTGCTTCTTTCTTTTTTGCTGGTTTGTTGGAGCGGTGCCTGCGTGTGTGCACCTGAGAGTGCAGGAAAGGCATGCGATCCGTTTGGCCAGGCTCCAGCTGAGATGTCTCGAGCTCCTTTGCCAAGCCTGAATTCCCACTCTAATTTGCCAGCATCCGGGCAGACATACATAGAACCCAACTTGTGACGTCGCTTGTGGTGGAAATGGTGTGGCTTGTCTTGCAGCTGCTTGAGCTTTGTAACATCCACATTGGAACTCAAATTGCTGCTCAACTCGCCCAGCTTTGCATGCAATAATTCAGTGCAGAAGAGGGAATCCAGGTTTACCAACCCCCGATTGATTATTCGGGGGTGTCCCATTTTAGAGATGACCGTTCACTTTTGAAGCCAACAGCTCACTGCCAATCCGGGCAGTCCGGTATTGCATGTGGTCACCTGCTTGGCACACTTGGGTAGCCTTGGCTTGGTAGCTTGGTAGCTGATGGCTGCTGGCTTGGCCGCCTTCCTCCCAGTTAGGCGGGGCGGCTTGGCGTGGGGGAGTTGCGGATGCTGCGTTCTGTATCTTCTTTAAAGGGACAGGGAGCAGCTGACCACGGGGGGAAGTCGCAGGGGCCGGTTCTTGAAGCAGGGGTGCAAGGGAGCCACTGCAACCCGGAGGCCCTCCTTCATTCGACCTGAGACTTGTGCATCTCGGCTGCGGTGTGTTGCACAGCATTTGTGAGTGGAATTGTTGCATCGCATTATTTGCCGGGGGCGTGGCCGAGGTGAAGGACTGTGGACAGGAAGTGGGGCAGCTCTCGCCTGCGACCACGAGTCGAACAGTTGAAATTGTCAAAGAGCCGCAAGCTGAACCTGCTCCAGCGTGGCATGACGGAGTGTCTTGGCCACGATGCTTCTTGTCATGTGCTATCTCTCGTGCAGCCTTGCTTGCGCGCTGTCAACCACCAAAAAAAAAACAGCTTGGGCCTGGCCTGGCTAGGCAATGCAATGCGCCGACCCGTTTGCGGCATCAAACATGCAGTACCTAGCAGAGGCTCGCCTGACGAGATTCTTTTGATTTTGGCAAATCCTTCCAGTCGCATTTCGCTGCATACCCCAGCTCAGTCCTGAATTGACCAGACTGGAATGCGCGCTTGACATTGCAATTTGTGCCGCGCAGCTATCTTGCCAAGTTTCAAGCTCACCGGGCCCATGCCGCGCTGCTGTGTCTCTCCTTGGAGACAGTTTCGGACAATTTTAAGTTCGGGCATGCCAACTGTCCTCAGTTTGCCCTTGGAGCATCTTGGAGAATATGTTATTTCTTCGGGGAAGGGTGGACACACAGGCGCCTACACGATGCCCTGGCCTTGCAGATAGGCTTTGTAGGCGAAGACATAGCCGTTTCTCTAGCCGTTGTTTCTCTAAACGGAGTACCAGCCAAATTGGGCGCCTTAGAAACATGGAAAGGAGCAATGTTGACCCCATATGAATCAGCCCCACTTTGCTAAAAGGGGGGTGTTTCCCTCCAAAGGTGATGATTCCCCACATTTCACCTAGGGACACCCTATAAATACCTTGGCTGCTATTGGGTTGGATCTTTAGACTTTAACTTTTTGGGAAATCAAGTTGGGTTTTCCACTAAACCCCCAAGAAGTGAACAACTTTTTGCAGGGGGGTCAACAGCAACCCGTGGCCTTGAGGCGGCGACGGCGGAGTTCCGCGGCTTGCGGGAGCTGAGCCTGCGGGGCAACTGGACAAAAACCGGCGCCTGGGGCGATCCCCCGCGTCCCTGAAAAATGGATTTTTGGAGTGGGGATTTCCACCAGTAACCGCAAGTGGCAACTTCTAAGCTGAGTTACCAGGAGCAAACATTTATGGAGTTCCATTGTCCCTTCTATGGGAATACTAGACACATGCAATTGGGTCCCTGACCCCCCACCCCCCACCCCCTGAAGTTTTTTTTGTTTTTTGTTTAATAATATTGGAAGTCGATTTGTGGGGACTGCACTTGGGCGAAGCGACTCCGCACATGATTTGGTTTTCTTGCCTTGGGAGGGTGTCCCTCATTGCATTTCGGTGAAGTACGCGGGAAGAAGACGATTTGCTTAGAGGCTTTTTCCAGACTGAGATTCTGCTTCTGAATTATTGTCCCCCACCGATGAGCTTTGGGTTGTCGAAATCCAGGAAGTGCCAGCCACAGCGAAGCAACAGTTCGTTTAAACGGAGCTCCTTCCCGTAGAAGTGACTTTTGTCATTTGTCCGCCTTTGAGGAAGGTGCGGATTGGCTTCTCCTGTCTTGGGCCTTTAACCTGAGGATTGTTGGAGTGAGTCTCTCTACCAGTGACTTGCGCTCCATTGTTAGTAGTTTGTGACAAGCCGCGGGGGCTGAGCAAATAGAAGGAATCGCGGCCTGTTACAGGCACCTAGGGAGGTGGTCAGACTGTCTAGAGATTCAGGCCACAAGGTCACCTCGAGTGACGAGATTGCAGCAGAGCTTGCAGACCAAATGCAGCTAGCTGAGCAGGAGCTGCCTTGTGTAAAGCCAGCAAATGTGAGCAAACGATTGCCTCATCATGTGTATGAGCCAGCAGGCAGCTGAGTTTCAGGACAACTAGCTTGAATGATTGCACAAACGGGAAATGAGTCGGGATGGGAGGGGGTTGTGTGTGTTGCGCTTCTTCCAGGAGCTGGTAGATCTCACATGGCAAGCTGAATGCGAAGAGTGCCGGCATAGCCAGGAAGTGGAGGAGCAGCTTGGCAAAAGTGGATATGATTTTTTGGTCAGTTTGATTTTCCTGGCAAACGAGCCACGCAGACACCGACTAAGAAGCCGACTGGCCCAGCCACCAGGGCCGGGGGCAGAAAGGCATTGTTTGTAAAGCTTTGAGTCGATTTTTCCCAGGTGGCGCCAGGCTGCTTGCCTGCACTTTGCCCGTGGGCGGACGTCCCAAGTGCCCTGTATGCGCATCCTCTCCATTGTTTTACCCCCAGCTGAGAACCAGTGCAGTCAACGCTGCGGATTTGTGTTGCCCCACTGGCAGAAGCACCCCCGCCGTGGAAGCATTGCCCTCTACACGAGCGAGTTTTCGGCAGCAGTGTCCACCTGTCTCCATGACCCTTGAAAAATGGGGTTACCCAAAAATTTGGGGTCATTGACCCATTCTTAAAGGGTCATGGAGGCTCCAGGCACATCTGATTTCCAGCGGTTTCCCTCAGCTGACGCTGACAGATGCTCGCCAGGCCTACCGCGAAGCGAAGGAAGACGCGGCGGTGGCACAAGGCCAAGCTCAGGCGCGAGAGGGAGGGGATTCCTTAACTATTTCATGGGGCGATCGCGGCAAGGTACCTCAGCTAAGTGGTTGTAAGGTTCATGGTGAGATACCCACAAAAGCCATGGTTGTAAGCGTCTCGCCTGGTGGTACTGACCACTTACCTGGACGTACCCGATCGCCCCTTTAAGTATGTTACCGCTGTGCACAGATCAATTTCCTCGTCACCAGCCCACCCATGCAAAGACATACCTCCTTTTCTCGCTTGTGCGCAGACGAATGCATTCACAGTGCCCTTCCCTATAGTACTTCCCGTGAACTCAGAATGCATTGTTTTTGAAATAGCTAAGCTGGAATCGCTTTGTGTGTGGTCGCCTCCAGGGGCAATTTTCTATGAGAGAGCACTGTCTGCTGCCATTCTTTGGCGACTCCCTTGTTTGGGCTTTGGACTTTTGCCCGGCGCAAAGGGTGGCATTCTTCAAAAGAAGAGATCCACCAGTTACCCTCCCAGTAGCTCCACCCGATCGATCGATGGGAAGGGCTTGACCCGTTTGACCAGGAGTCACAAACCTCGGTGGATGAAGCGCAAGCAGAGGTGGCGTCCTTGCGCGGCGCGTTGGACCAGGCGACGTGCTCGGTCTATGCCCTGGGGTGCTTTCAGTCCTCAACGCTTCTAGGGGACCCTCAGAAGGGTGGTGTTGAACGGAAAGTAAAAGGGAATCCCCAATTTTTGGGGGTGCCCGACAAAAAGACAGACCCGTGTGGTGAGCACAAGTTGGGCGCAGACCCACAACATGACATCAAAGAAGCCACCCACCCACTAGCCATGCGGCAACAAGGTCCCAACTAAGTAGTTGGGGTCTCCGCCAAGTGGCAGCTCGATCCTCACAAGCAGAAGAAAAGCCGAGGAAACCCTTGGAAATCCTCAGCGAACGAACAAAAACAGAAGCTAAACCCCCGCAGCACACTGCGCTGCCCGACCCCCAGGCCCTGGCTGACTTGGAGGACGCTCGAGCCTCATACCGTGCCACGGAAGCACGGGTCGCCTTGGATGAAGAGCTGCTCAGAGATGAGGTGGCTGAGGCAGGGCTTCGATGCCAGGGGCGATCGATGCAAGTGGTAACCAGGGTGTAAATTCCAAGGCTTCCAAGAAGCGGGGGAAGTGAGATGGAAGAAGAAGCTGGGTGCTTTTAAATCTGCATTGTGCTGAACAAGGTAGTAGCCATGGTTAGAACCCACAAAGCCATGGAGTAGATTGCAACCCAGGCTTACTAACCACTTGCTAGGTACCCGATCGCCCCTTTAAGTAACATGGCTGGGCAATGGTGGGCAATGCTGGGCTCATGATTTGTGGAAATCAGAAGGGTGCCTTGTTCACCCACCTGCTGGGCACCCCGCAAACACACTTGGGAAAAGACTCGGCTAAGCCATTTTTGGAGGTGTATTGTTGGTTTGGGATGGTTCGATGGATTTCGAGAGTTCGATAGTTCTGCCCAGCTGAGAGACCCAGATTAACACCGGACAAAGCATCGGCCGGATGGTGTGTGAAGCTCCGAGTGTGAGAGGCTCGGGCGCGAGGACGAGGACTGCAGGGAGGGTCACGGAGCTGTGGGTAAGGCATACCTTTGAAGTCCATCGTTGCGGGCTGTGTTTCAGATGGAACAGGAATGCACTCAATGGAATTTCAGAATGGCCATGTACCTGCCAGGTACCAGAGGTGAAAGGGCACAGGGGATGCAGGCAATCGACCCGCAACTCTGTTCCCAAAAAGGAACAACCACAGATTGTGATTTTGAGCCCAGTGCGGCAGACGCATCGCATGTGACGCATGCAGGAGACCATCGTCGTGAAGCGGAGTTGAGCGCCTCGCCGGGTTTGTGGAATTGGGGCCAGCGCTTGAGGATTGGACAAGATCCGCGGTTGAAGCCCACGCTGCATACGCGCAGTGGAAGAATGATGGATATAAGTTTCTTCCGGAGCGGAGCCTTTAGGTGTTTCCCAGGCCATGCCAATTTGTCACTTCAGCTCCTTGCAGGAGTCCGGGTACAAGAATCCAAAACGGTTGCAAAACAGTTCACATGTGACCACATGCTGCCAGCTTTTGCGCAGCCTTATTGACATGCAAGCACATTGTTCTGCTGTGGCTGCCCTGCGCTGCAAGCAGGAGAAACATGTGCCAGATCAATTTGTGCAAGTGCTGTTCCATTTGATTGAGTTGGTGCCTGTTGATCTTAGTGTTTAGGGTGGGCTTTCAAGAAGCGGGGAAAGTGAGATGGGAGCATCAGCTGGCCGTTTATTTTGCCCAGGACAAGAGCTGTCCCAATGTCTGCAGCGAGAGTCACAGGGCCGCGCGCTCTTGCAGCGACTACGGGCCCTGCGCTGCGATGCGGACGCTTTGAAAGAGCCCGAACCACAGGAGTGCCAGGAAGCTGAGGAGAACGAGACCAACGAGCGCGGGTTCGAGGCTGAGGAGAACGAGTCCACTGAGTCCGAGGCGCGGTTGAGAGGTTGATAGTTCTCTTGTCCGCCCTCTCTGAATCTATGAATGGCGCCTTTCTGAGGCCGACGCACGGCAAAGTGGCCAGGTGGCAGTGGCCGAGGCTTTTGCCTCTTGTGATCAAGGCACCTGGAATTGGGGAGAGTGCGTCGGCTGTCGAATGAACATAGTGAGGCTGGTCAGAGAGCATAGCCGTGTGTCAGCCTGTTGGGTGTGATGGATATGGTTCTAAAACAAGTCGCCAGGCAGTCAGTCGCTCGTTTCTGCTTTGGGCCAGCATATCCTCGACTGGTGCCCGTTGGCGCACGCCGTACTTTGTTTTAACCATGCCTGCAGCAGCAGCCAGGGTTCCACGTTTTGACTACCCCAAGGTAGACTCAAAATCAGTTGATTTCATCTGAGTGTACCTTGGAGGAGTCAAAAAGTGGACCCCTGGTTGCATGAGTGCCATGACATTTCCCTTTGATTCCTGTGAGGTTTGGCAGAGTCTGCGGAGCAGCAGCTCCAGTGGTTGCGCAGCCGAGCACGAAAGCTGCACGCGGTGAAGGAACAACTGCAGCAGCTGCGCAGCTTGGTTTGAGGGAACTGCCGGCCGTGTGTTTTTTGGAAAGTGTCCGCTTCACTGACCTTGGATTGACTTAGTTTGCATTCCGAAGCTATCTTGGCTGAGCTGAGCTGTTTGGCTTTATTGGAATTTCAATACTTGAGCGCGATGCCGCCCTCCGCCGGCTATTCGGAGTCTTACTTCAAGTCGGGGCTAGGGGCTTCTCCCTATGGCAGCTATACTGGCAGCTATCAACCTGCCGTGCAGGCTGCCTCACGGCCCCTGACGATGGGAGATGCCGCAATGATGCCCACATATGCAAATGGAATGCCACTCTATCAGCCGGTCCCGGCCCCGTACATGAGCGAGATGGCGCCATTGACCAATAGTCGGCTGGCGCCAACCACGCTGCTGGGAACTGTCCGGGCCAACAAGACGAATCAGGAGCCCTGTGCTGAAGAAGGGTGCTTGGATGACGAGAAGTTCGGCGCCGAAGACACCGGACCCAGCTCGGAATACACTTTATGTGGCATTGATTTGAAGCCAGTTCTGCCTGTGGCTCTTGCGCTGTCAACGGTTATTGGAGCCATGTGCATGATGCTCGTTCAGATTCCGATTCTCTGTCGACTCACAAGCATATCAGAGGCTGCGCTCTACGCGTCTGCTTCCGCACTCTACTGTATTACACTGGGCTGTATGATGTACTGCGCGTTTGCAGATCCGGGCCAAATCAAGAAGACCCGCAACATGCAGAGAGATGGATTGGACAGTGAGGATGGCGTGCCCCGGCGCGCACATAGGTCGTGGCAGTATCCTAGGCCAATCCGTCGATACGACCACTACTGCAAATGGATTCAAAACGTGATTGGGCTCCTAAATCACCGGGAGTTTGTGACCATGCTAATTGGCTTGACCCTGATTGGTCTGCTCGGAATTGGGATCGACTTGTGGCTTGCTGTCCTCATCGCTGAAAAGGGCTTCATGGACAGCGAGATCATCGTCGTGCTGCATTTGGCATATTCCATCGCCCTGCTGGCCATCGAGGGGCCGATTTGCAAGATTCACATCGGCCTGATTTCGCGGAACGAGCTGGCGCAAGAGTGGAAGAAGAACGAGAACTATATAGCAAACAACACAAGCCTCGGCGACAATGTGCCCGTAGAGATGTTGGCCGATGATGAGTACAATGAGCTCTTCGACCAAAATGCCTTTCACTATGATCGGACCAGAAATCCGTTTGACAAGGGCGTTGCGTCAAACTGCTGCAACTTCTGGTGCCTGCCTCGCTGGCCAGCACATGAGAAGGGAGAATGGTGAGATGAGAAATGGCATGTCTCTAGGCTGCGGCTTGCTTGTTTCACCGGGTGGCCAAAATTGTCATATCCGTGGGGTGACTGTTCCGACCGTGGTTGCAAATGGAAAAACAAAAGGCAGATGCTTTTTGCGCAGGTCAGTCTTTTGGGGGTCGCCCAAGAAATGGCCCCTGACCGTCCCATAAGAATCCAGGCATGTAATTGCAGGGTGGGAGCCCAAAACAGGGATCCTGAACAACTCACAGAGCTATGCTTCCCTACATGGTTCATTGACTTTCTGGCGGGACGACCAATTAGGTAGGGCTTGCTTACGCGAAAATGTGCATGCGATCCCCGCTCAGGAAGGCAGCGGCTGTCGCAAGAAAGAGAGTGCCAGGGGCCAACTGAAGCCAGCTTCGCACCTTTGCAGAGACCCTGGGGTTTGACGTGAGCGAAAAAGGCAGCCAGCTCTCCGATCGCACGAATTCAGGTGACAAATTGTGGTCCATCAGCATGACCCAATGAAAAAACACGTGCCTGAATCCGTATATGTCACAAGCTGGCTCCAAGCGCGTTCTGCCAATTGTCGCAATTTGGACCCGACGAGCCACGGGGGGCTCCTCGGCACAAAACGCTCGCGGGCTTTGCGGCTTCATGGCTTTGATGTTGTGTTGGGCATTGGTACAGCCATCTGGGCTGAACCATGCTGAACCTCTCAAGGGCGATGGAAGCTTCGACTGCTTGATTGGGCAAAGCCAATGTTGCTGACACGATCCTTCCATGGACAGAGGCGTACATTGATGTTGCATTGAGTTTATTCGTTGCAGTCTTGCCGGTTCTCCTGAGTGGAAGGTTTCGAGGAGTCTGTGCATTCTTTGCGCCTGCCACTTTGAGGCGTGCTCAGCATGCATCCCCTTTGCTTGCAAAGGAGGCGCCGCGTTTTTTGAGCGAAGCAGAACACTCTTTTTTCGGCAACAGAAAAAGGCAAAAAGACGCCAGAGGGCTTATCCTCCCCTCACCCACAGAAGCCGCCAGAAGGTCACTATGGAACCAAGTCCGTTCGGGAGCTTCCGTGGAATCACCTGGAAAGGCTGAAATGGGGCGATCGGGTACGTCAGGTAAGTGGTGAATAAGCCCGTTTATACCCCACTTGGGAGACTTATAGCCATGGCTTTTGTGGGCTAAAGCACCATGGATTATTCCCATTAGTCTGCCCCTTTAAGTATCGCGATTTTTTGCAGGCGGCAGGCTGGCCAGCTCCTGGCAGGCGCGGGGAGGTCGAGGGAGAAGTGTCCTGCCAGTGGAGCGCCCTTTTTCTTTTTGCCAGGCTCATACGTGGCGTTTTAGATTGGAACGCGCTGCTTTAGATGGGCGTAAGTCCAAAAGTCACCGGGTCACCCGGCATGCCGCACTCCATGCGCAATCTCACATGCAAATGGCAAGTTGCAGGTGGCCTCCCTGAGGCGATTCCATGGAAACTCCCAGGACTTTGGAAGACTTAGTTCGTGGCCTTTTGGCGGCTTCTGTGGTAGGGAGGGTAGCCCTGCAGCGGCTGTGATGTATGGATGCAACACATGCGTCACCGCATCACGTGGCCAAAGCAGAAGCTTCAAACAAAAATTTGGCACCGAGTTGCATGCACGAGGGAGGTTTTGCGACAGCCACGTCATGCATTGCCCAACCCATGTGATATAGTCTTCTCCAGCCTGGGCCAGCGCAACATTTGTTTGCCAAATGTTCTTGACGAGTATTGTTTGGCATGTTGCAGCCAGCGCGTTGCGCTGCACGTCTCTTTCAGGCCTGGGTGCGTTGCTGACCCTGTGCGTCAGCGACATGCACCTTAATTTTGTGACGAGCTCGGCCTGCTTCATGTGTTGAATGATGTGGCAGGCAGGTGGAGCAATGCCTGCATAAGCTGTTTCGGTTTCTTGAACCGCTCTCAGGTGGGTTTGCAACAGGAAGCTCGCGAGCCGTCCCTTTGTGCAAGACACATCCGGGCCGTGTCCACAGCTTGTGCAAGCCGGTGTCCAATATGTCTGGAATCCATCTTACACTCACTTGTTCGAATTTTATTAGGGCACCACCTCAAAAGTTGTTGGGGAATGAATCCCAATCGAATTTTGACGTCCACCAAAGGGTCCCCAATTAAACTCAGGCCCACTTTTTCTTCGACAGTCCAGTTTTCCCGGCGTTTGCCTGCCGCCTTTGCCGAGGCAACTGGAAAGACACGGTTGAGCCCCGATGCCGACGCCTTAGACAGATCGGAGGCTAGGAGCGATCGGATGTGATTGGATTCGGTACGTCAGGTGGGTCTAACATGGCAATAACCATGGCGAGTCGGTGGCACCAAGGAAACCAGACTAAAACCCCAAACCCCAACCCCCTCCCAGCAAAAATGGCGGACTCGGCGAAACCGCGAAACCGCGCGCAGCCGGACCTGTCCGATGACCTGTGGGTCATTTCCCAGACTTGTCCGCCCGAAAGCTTGCTGGGAATGGTGTTGCGCAAAGGCTTCTCAGGTTTGTTCTCAAGTTTACTAGTGTGCCTTAGGGTTGCTTACCTTGCTGGTTTCAGGAATCATTGGCGGGGGTTGGCTACGAACCGCCATGATTTTCTATAAGCCACCGTGGGTTAACCAGGCCTAACCACAGTACCTGACCTACCCCGCCTCTCATTTGCCTCGCCAAGGCAGCTCTGGAGCTCGACAGCGTTTGGCGATTAGATCCCCAGGTGCAACTGGCATGCAGAAACCGGGACCTCTTTTTTTTTGGTTTTGCGAGCCTGCAGGTCTTCAAGACAGGATGGGATTCAGAGCAAGGAAAGTGGATAGACCTGCCCAAGAATATGATCAAGGCAGGAGCTAAGTTGCATTGAAGCTCGTCTGCATGGTGTGTGGACCCATGTGCCATATTCCACCACTCCACTGCCAGAAATGGTGGCGGCAGCCCGGGTATCTCACTCCCTTCGGCTACCGTCACCCGCCTATGTGGAGCAAGAAGGAGGGATTCGGCCATGTTTGTACTGAAAGGGGCAGGGTGCGTCAGGTAAGTGGTTGGTACGCCTGGTTGTAAGCCACGGAAAGGAGACTTATAACCATGGCAAGTGGGCTATAGCCATAGTTAATACCCACTTACTAGGTACCCTGCCCTTAAAGTACAACCACCTCGTTCTTTGTATGTTCGCGCCCGGCAGGATTACGCCTTGGCCTGCTTCAGCCTCAGTGTTTGGTTTTTGCTGATCTGCAGTCGGCAAGTTGCTCCACCATCGGCGATGTGGGAGTGTCTTTTTGAAAGGGTATCCATTTTTTGGGGGTTGGTTGAAAGGGAAACCAACAGGAAAACCGTCATTTTGGGGGGGCCCTGAAGAAAGACACAATGTGCAATGGTCAAAAAGACCCCCTACTTGAGGTTAATAGGGATGGTCATCCACCTGGTAGCAAGAATCCTTCATCTTTGTACTGGTTCCTTTTAAGGAACCATGGCCCACTCGGCCAAAGAAACGGCGTTTTGAGCATGGCTCACGTGCGGCTTGGCTGCGTTTGCAGGCACCGAGATGAAGCTGGCTGGCATCGAAGCATCTATGGTGCAGGCCTGGCTTCGCTCGCGTATTTTTTTGCCAGCGACCCCTTGGGCGGCGGAGGAACTCAAAGAGAAGGGCTGGACCATGGAGCAGATTCGCGGAAGAGCCAGTGCGGCACCCAGTTTTTTTGCCAGTGCAGATGCAATTTTGCCACCAATTAGCCACAGCCATGATTGAGTCTCAACAAGCGTGAGAATCATGGCAACTTCGCAACTGCGAATCCAACTTACAGCGAGGAGAAATTGAAGATGCAAACCCGGGCCTTGGCTGAGGTGCCTTCGAGTTTATCGAGCATGACAAGCTGCCAAAGTTGACTCCCAAGCTCACCTTTCTCTTGCAGGCGTGCTTGACTACTTAGTCTGGATAATTGTCAGTTGTCGTTTGCTTGAACTGGTTCATGTCGCTTTGCGTGGGTGATTTGATGTCGTGTGGCCGCAAGATGCTACAAGAAGCCACAAGAGGTTCCCACTGCCCCGACATGTCCGCACGCTTTCATGCAGTGTTGCTGCCCATGTCTGCGGCACCCTGCCCATGCCATCTCATGCCTGCTCAATGTTCTTTACTGTTGGCCCCATTGACCAGCTACTACAAGGGGCGGGGTACTTAGTAATCGGGTAATAGCCATGGCCATGGCGATCACCCACTTACCATGGTTATCACTCTCCTAAAAGCTTAACAACCAAGCTTACTGACCACTTCCGTGACGTACCCCGCCCGTAGCATGGCAATCACGAGGCCAGTTGGCGATGATTCAAACTCCCCAGCGCCGTTCAGGTCAAAGCGCTGTGGGAGGGTAAGGACCCCTCCCAAGATGAGCTCATCGACCTGGGCGAGGCAAGTTGGATAGTGCGTGTCCAGTTGGGCCTTTGCATTTCTTCAGCTGCGCTTTTTTCATCCCCGGTTTCTCGTCATGATTTGAGGGTCTTGGGTGGGATGCGACCCGAGTCTTTAGCCTTTTGAGGCCTGCACTGGGGCACGGCTTTGCTCTGGCGTGTCATCTTAGGCCCCCAGCCCTCCCTGTCCCGCAAGGTGTACAAGAAAGACACTGGCAGAGACTTGCGGCGGTCTCAACGCGTTGTTTTTTTTGGACGCCATCCAGACGTATGATGCTTCAAAGCAGTATGCCAGCCAAGCTGGCACTGGTCAAAGGAGGCAGGCGCGGCCATGATATAAGCTTTGGAGTCCATCCTTTTTAACGGCCAACGGCATCCCTAGCCGAAGCTGTGGGATATTGGTCCTTCCCGGCATTTCACGCGTCCATTTCTTTTGAGCGGCGATGTGCCAAGGGACGTGGAGGAGGACGCCGAGCGATGACGTCAGCAATTCCGCCTTGAAGCATGTGCTACGGCAAGCGCATGGCCTGCAACCAGTTCCCGCGTTGGGACCTGGTCTGCTAAGGTCGATTTTGTTCCATCTTTGCTTTATGCCTTTTGTCCCTTGTTATTTTCCCAGCCCCCACACGACAGCTACTTTGTGCTTAACCCTTGTCAGTGCTTTAGAGTTGAGCGGGCCGAAACAAGTTTGTGCGCGTGACTTTTTGAAGCACCAGAAAGGAGCATTACCTTTGGGCTGCAGGCTGTCAGCTCTGATTTTCCACTCCATACTGACATGTTGAATTCCATGGTCAGCTCGTGCAACCAAGTTGCTGTACAGAGCATACCTCCATGCAAGCTGGAGCCACTCTAGAAAAGGCTGCCACTCAAGAGTAGCATGAGAGTTCACCTCCCAAGAGGTTTCAACCAATTGATGATCTCCTTTCCAAGAGTTAAGGGTATCTAGTACCTATAGACTTTCAACAACTTCCTACCATGCCAGGTGATGCAGCTAATGCCAGGTGCACATGTGCAGAAGGGAGTCCAGAGAGCAGTGATCGTTTGCT